TAAACGAAGTAAGTTCAAAACAGAAGGTGAAGGCCAATACATTTACCAATATATTATCTTGGTAATGCCACTCTCTGAAAATTTATTTGGCTAAATGTTCTACCACTGGCAGTAATGATGATTCGAGCAGATTATTTGAAATAACATCTATTAATCTAATGAACATAATTACGCCTGATTAATAATCTGGAAAGGAAGAATGAAGACTAAAAATGTTTCTGTGACATTGGGCTAATCCACAATTGTTTTCTTTACTTTTAATATTGAGGTTTAATCACAAGTTGAAACGGGATCAACCTCATTATTTATATTTTTCTCACCTCCAACTAATAAAACAGAAGCAAAGCTTAATCTGGACATTGAAAAACTAAATGTCTCTGTTTGACTTACAAGTGTGACATAAAATTTTAAACAGCTCACTTTCAGTACAATATAAATGTATACGACATTTTGTTGGGGTTAAGACAAAATAACTACATCTGCATATGGTCAACTTGTGAATAGATAGATGAATGTTATGATATGAAAGTGGAAGTATATTATTTTCTTTCGATTTTTCCAATTTGTAATGTGAGTACAATAAATGGTGGATACTGATCCTATTATGAAAACCAATGTGGATGAGTAAATGCCTATGTGCTTCCTCAAAACTAAAATGTCATGCATTTGCCCAGTAAAGCTTATTTTAATCTTAATGTTTGAAATACTTCCGAGGTTCATTTCATAAATTTACTTAAACCTTGATATGTTACCTTGAATAGAGTGAAAAGTAGCACCATTAATTATCATCAGGAAAGTATTTTTGTCAATTCAGTAAACGCATTTCATCACTAAAAGTATGGTCTTATATCATTTGAAGTAAATAGCATAAAGACCTTTTCATTCGGCTTTAAGAGCCATGCTAATGTATTTTAATGGCTTCTATTTTCTGTAATATTTCGTGATAAATAAATTAACTATGATAATTACGGTTTTGAACGCACCAATTTAGTTTATAGTTGATTCGGTCTGAACTAAAGCCACTATATAAAGGGGATATTCAAAATGCCTTTCAAGTCAACATGGTCGTATTTGGAAAATGGATATTGACCACTGTTTGTCATTAACTTAAGCTATGTGAACGCAAAAATATTAATTTTTGAAAATCTAGTTTTACTTGTATGGAATATGAATGAGCTGTTAATTTTAACTAACCTTGGGATAAATTAACCAAACTAAAACATTATTGTGTGCCAATCAGTTTACGCTTCTGAAGGTCACTTACATTCCGCGCGTTTTTATGTTAGTACTTGCGGATTCCTAACAGATTGAATGTGAATGCTGAATTTTTATTTATATCAAGACGTTAACATTTTTGGATGCATATCTGCAAATTATTCTACGTAATAAATACACAAAATCTGTGGTCGGATAATGCGTCACGACTGTTTACAATATTTCCCGATTCTATTTATTTTGTTTCTCTATTATCCACCACAACGGATCTTTGGTTCTAACCTTAGTTTCTCAAAATCTTTGCATAGATATGACTCTATAAATAATGTACCATTTTCATTTCCTTTATCCTCATATACGGCAAGTATTCTTCCTGATATCGGCCCGAATAACTATATCTTAACAAATGAGCCCCGGTTTGGTGTTCCTGAACCATTTAACGGTAGACCTTCGGGAACAGTATCATTTGCAATCCTCGGTAACCTTGAATGTCGAGAATCGTTTTCAACGGAAACCTTTAAGCAAGGCGGATTCTATTTTCTCCGACTGCGCACTACTCACAATGCCGATTTTAATTCCAAGAAGCAGTCGACATATTCCTTTGACATTCAGGCTGTATTTCAGTCAGAACAGATCAGTAATAGACCTCCAATTACCCTCACTAATAAAACGCGAATCACCATTAGACTCATAGACCGAAATGATAACTGCCCCTTCTTCTCCCAAGATATATTTCAGTTGACTGCATTTGAGAACGCGACCTTATTCACCAAAATTGGCACTGTTCATGCCACTGATGCTGATCGGGGTATTGATGGACAGATCTATTATTTTCTTCAACCAGAACGCATTTTGGTTCCCTTCCGAATTGATTCGCGCTCAGGAGATATCTTTCCCACCAAAAGTCTGACGATCAAACGTGGTGATTCTACCATTTCTGAACAAGTCACTTACTTCTCTAAATTTGAGGGCCTTACAGATTACTCTTTTAAGGTAATTGCTAGGCATCGAGGAAATCTTAGCCATGTTTCCTGTGAATTTGTTAGTCATGCTCAGGTACATGTTAAAGTGAAACCGATTCGATCGAATGGTCCTCATATCTCCTCCTTCCTGCATACAGACATCGAAAAACCGGGATCTCCAGGAACTGTTTACGCGACTGTCAGTGTTACATCATTGGAAAATCCTCTGAATACCCACCTCTCAATTGTCGAACCAGAAGCTGCAGCCCTGTTTGAGTTAGTTCGATTGGGTCAGCAATCTAAATGGCAGCTTCAGTTGAAGTTTCAGTATCCTGCACTTTCATTGAGCTCAAAAGTTGGATTAACTCTCGAAGCGGTTGATGCTGAAATCGCCACAGTAGGGCACATTCCATCTTCCAGTCGGCATTTCCTTGAAGTTACACTCCTGCCTCAACTCGCGTTTCAAATCCGTCTACCTCAAGAACTTCACCTCTCTGTCTCCGAGGTTGCTCTTGTTAATTCAACTGTGTACATCATTAATCCAAACCTCAGCTTTTATATTCACAATTCCAGCTTTCTTTTCTCTGAAACGAAAAAGAGCGTTAACGTGCCCTTCAGGATAACAGAAACGGGTGCAGTGGTTGTAACTAAACCCATTGACCTTGAAACCCTGGGTACTGATAGACTGGAGATTGCGTTTACTGTTGTCGATCGAAATAATATTCTATTGAGTAGTATGGCTGACTCGAAGCTAGTGATTAATATATTGGATTATAATGAATACAGTCCAGAGATATTAAATGATGGAGCTGAATGTTCGATTGCGGAAAATCTTCCGGTTGGAAGTGAGGTACTTCAAATCGAAGCCCGTGATCCAGATTTTTCAGCAACAAGACTCAGTTTTTCTCTTTTTGATGAAGACAAACTTCCATTCAGTTTTTCAACCAATAAACCAGGATCAATGATTCTGAAGACACCCCTTGATGCTGAAACCATGCCTATGGAATTTCACGTTAAAGTAAAGGTCTCCGATTCTGGTTTGCCTTTTCCTCGTAGTATGATGGTCATCTATCTTATTAGAATTATTGACATAAATGAATTTAGCCCGGTGTTTGTTGAGAAATCCTGCGAAGCCCAGCTGGTTGTTACTCCAAGTGGACAAATTCAAACATTTGCACCATCGGGTCTTGAGTTAGGTCGATTCTTTGCTGAAGATCTGGACCGGGATGGAAGTAGTGCTGTAAAAATTAGACTCGCTTCCACAACTGTGTCTAGGCCTTGCTTCAAACTCGATTCCGACACTGGACGTTTACAATTGATCTGCTCAAATATCGGTCTTCCCGAGTCTTCTATCACTGTTAACCTTGAAGCAACTGATGGGGAGCTGAACTCTGAACAGCAGTTTGAATTGAAAATCAATCTTGAGAAGGCGGGTTATGGTCGAGTCTATTCGAAATCCTGTCAGCCATCTGGAATCTATGAGAAGATACAAGAACAGAAACAGAAACGCTCGGACTATGAGTATCGACTGGCAGATATAACAAGTATTGACACTTTCTTCAAGAGAAATGATGAAGTGATAACACCTTCTCTTTCTGTTCCGACTGTCCTCAGATTACCCGAAAATCTTCCGATCGGCACTCCAATTCTCACATTCTCCGCAAAATTTCTTGAATCCTTCAAAGGAGGTCAATTCCCACAGCTTATCTATGGCGTAGTGGGTCTGCAAACATTCCTTTCCAATAACGACACAATGTTACCACCTTATCAGGCTTTTCGTCTGAGAGGCGACTCAACTTCTGATGTTTCAGTGGATGATGAAATGGTACTTGAAGTAGCTGCTCCTATAGATCGAGAAATTTCTTCCGAATTTCTTATTTCCCTCCGAGTTTGTGTTCTTCAAGATTCAACAAGACTCTGCGCTTCCAGTTCTGTCTCTATTTTAATTGAAGATATTTTGGATGCTCCACCACGATTTGTAATTGATGATTCCCAAGCTGGAACTCATACCTTTTTTGTCTCGGAGGATGAGGCCGAAGGCTCAATCATTGGTCAGGTTGCTGTTGTTGACGATGATATTGAAAGCAAGCTCCGTTTCTCCATTGGAAATTACAAAGAACATTTCAAGGTTTGTTCTTTCGAATACGCATTTTAAATATATAAGTCGGCGGCTTAATCGTTCTCCTTATTTCTCTTTAGATCCATCATCGAACTGGTCGAATTAGCCTAAAACAACGGCTCGATCGAGAAACACTGGATTCCTATTTAGTGTCAGTTAAGGTTGCTGATATTCTTGATAACCATACACTGAATTCCCCATCTGAATTGAACGCTCTTGCCCTAAAATCCACCCCAGATTGGGCTTTAGAGCGCACAGCTACTACCTACGTCCGAATTAATGTTCTTGATGCTAACGACAATAATCCAGAGTTTATTGGGACGTATAATGATATTGTAATACCTTCAGACTTTCCCAAAGGTGCCTATGTCACAACTTTGCGGGCAAAAGACGCGGATGAAAGTCAAAACGCTATCCTACAGTATAGTCTCTTCGGTTCTGAGGCAGATAAATCATGTTTTGATTGTGATATTGCTACTGGAGTTGTTCGAATTGCTGCCGAATGCGAAGGCCTACAACCGGGATACACTCACTCCCTTACTGCTTGGGTTCGTGACCTCGGTTCTCCTGAATCAAGACAAACAAGTACTGAGTTTAAAGTAACGGTTCTCGGACTACGGGTAAATGTCTATCCACCAAGGTTTAATAACCTTAACGGACTTTATCAAGGACGACTAAAGGAAGGAGCTCCAATTGGTAGTCGAGTGCTAGAATTTGGAAGTGAAAATTCCCTGCTGATGAGAGCTAATGATCCCGAAGGTTTGCCACTGATCTTCAGAACGGTTGGAGGAAGCGGTCTGGGGACTTTCACTGCTACTTCTGAAGGTACACTATCATTTGACTAATGACCTCCCGTTAAACAGATATGCTGTTAATATACGATCATAATAATTAACCGTAGTTTTGATAATATTGCACATAAAACATCTAGTAAATTTTAAGCTAATTTCAAATTTCGAGAGGATATACCATTTTAGCGAGGATCTGATGTTTTTTTAATACGGACTTGAATCGTCTAATCTTTGCAGGATTCATCATATCAACTCGAGAAGTCGATGCAGAAAGTACCCCATTTTCTGGGGGCTACTGGTTGGAGGTATACGCGGAAGAAGATCAATCTTCCAATGAGACACTAACAGCGACTGATGGAATTCCACCTAGATTCGCAGTCGCCGAAGTTTTCATTCAAGTGAGTTTCTTTAGCCAAACTTCCTTATTTATGAATGTTCGTTCTCCTGACAGTTTATGAAATCGGGGATATACACAACTCGTTTGCTAGTTTACTAATTTCTCTATGACTCATTTAGGATTCCAGCTGACCTGTGTCCTTACTCCCGATGCGCAAATGAAACTAAAGGTGTATTTTTTAATTTCATGCAGGCTTATCTCTCTGAGAGGCCTGGTAAACTGCTCTGCTTTCGGTATCGATTTCCAATATTTGCAAAGCAGAGGCAATTAATGTATGAAATACGATGTGAATTTTAAGCAACTGTTCCCTGTTTTTGTTCGAACCACTATTGATTATTTATTCCCTTATTTAATAGAAATAATTGCTCTCCTGTAGAAAGGTCAACTTAAGTAATCTATTTGCACAGAATTGCAGTGGTCCTTATAATCACTAATTGGCGTATCAGCTGATAAACAGTTGTTCTTTCCAAATGTGTGTAGTTCAACGCTTATCACATTTTAAATTTTACTCCAGAAAATTGACTTCCTGATAAATGCTACGTTCCAAAGATATCTTAGAGTTCTTATTATTGATTTTATCATTAACATCCCGTCTTATTTATCTGCAAAAAACCGCTTATTTGGCATGTTTCATACTACGTAAATTAGCCGATTGATCTGGAATCAATTCATTCTTACAACGTAAGATTTATTAATATCAAATGACAGGCGTCTTGATGGTTATCATTACCCCT